CCTGGGAGACAAATGAATTGAAATGCTACATGGCCAATGGAAAAGGGTGGACACCAGCAGTGACAGACCTGGGAGACAAATGAATAGAAATGCTGCATGGCCAGCGGAAAAGGGCGGACACCAGTAGTGACACAAAGGGCGGACACATCTTAAGAAAGAATTGAGAACCCCTAACAGTAAACTGTTTGGGGAATAATTAGCTATTGGACCTGCTAGAAAACCACAGCTAGTTTGTAACAAATGTTGCCCTTCTCAAAAGGTTTGAACGATCCAGCAACAACGACAACACCGAGGCCCAGTGCATCCAATGCCGCTTGTGCGTCCAAAGCCGCCTGGGTGAGATCTCCGAGCAAAACAACTCACCGGAGCCGATCCAATGGATCCAACCATTGCAAGTGACTTCATACGTCTGAGGATTAGAGATTACGTCTTTCAGGGGGAATCACACAATCACATGTCACATGCCATCCAAATGCAGCAACATCCCGAGTGACAACTTGCCACCGTGGCAGCTTCTGCACCGCCTGCGTTTGCGCTTGGGCATTGGCCTGATCCAGACCAGCCTGCGAAGCGGTGACTGCCAAACTTCCAAAGGAGTTGGGAACAAAGCAGTTTAAGGCAACGAAAGGAGAGCAAACTTGCAGAAAAGCTGCCAGTGGAAGGCCGCCCAAAGACAGGCTGCCCAGATTGCCCAGTGAAACACCTGCCGCTTGCGCTGCTTGCTGGGCGGCAGCCTGTTGTGCCGCTTGCTGCACTGCTTGCTGAGCCTGGGAAGGTGGCGGCAAGGCTTGTGCTGCTTGCGCTGCTGCTTGCTGTGCCGCTTGCTGCGCGGCTGCTTGCTGCGCCGCCTGCTGTGCGGCCGCTTGTTGTGCCGCTTGTTGGGCGGCTTGAGCTTGTTGGGCTTGGGCTGCTTGAGCCTGCTGCGCCTGCTGAGCTTGAGCCTGCTGTGCTTGCTGGGCACGCACCTCAGCCCCGATAAACCAGCCCATGCGCGGGCCAATCTCGTAGTAACAGTATGAAGCTGCAAAACATCAATGCATGAGTTCTTTGTCGTGAGAAGCTCCGCAGAAATCATATGGGGCAGCTTTTGTCCTCGAGTTAGCCAGCAGATCTATGCATCAGGTTTGCAACCTGCATCGAGAAGGATGGCTCAAAACATGTAAGCAGAAATGATAATGTTCCAACAAAAAATAATGTTCCAAACACCCGCGCCTTCGATTCTCAACGTCATCTGCGGGAACCACTTCTGTCCATCGCCTGAGGCACAAAAACAAGGGTGACAGGAGTCACAGCCATAAAAACACACTGTGTTTCAGTGAACTCGTGATACATCCAATGCGTCAGTACTGCTGTTGACCTCATCCACCAACACTGACGCCAAACTATAGGAGACCGACGAGAAGTACGCGCTCCTTCTGTCGCATGTATTAGTCTTACGTAGTACCAGTGAATGGCAGTTCTGTTCGGACCATAAGCGCTCAATCTGTACATATCTGTCCATGCCTGATATGGCAGTTCTGTTCACATAGTTCTGCAATATCTATATAGATGTGTGTCGGAGTCGGCCCACCCCATCCCATCCAGCCCTTGGCACCTCAGTCTGTCTACGGGATCCGAGCCAAGCTGAACCCAGGCAGCACCACCAGTACTGGCACATCGTCTCTTCACCTCTGGCTCCAGATTCCTGATTCCAGGCATCTTCTGCTCAAACCGTCATCTTCCTCTTGAACCGTCTTGAACCACATGCTTTCTGCCCAAAGTGTACATGGGTTCTTTTATCATTTAGCAATGCAAAAAAAACTGCAGGCCGATGCTATGTCACATCTTAGTCTATGCACTCATCCAAGAACGAACATGTGACCATGTTATGGCTTAAAATGCATGCATCTGGAAAGCAAAAGTTGTCTGTCATCTTATCACAAGACTTTCACTACGCCTTCAAATCGACTTTAGGTTCCATGGCCACGTGTTTTTGAGTATGTTATTTGTACCAAGCAGAGTTACCCCCCTATGGCAAAAGTGAAAAACAAACAGGACAGTTGAGACCGGCTCCTGAGCAGGCTGAACAGATTGATCCCTTCTTGCAAAGGTAGCCAGTCCAGGAAGGTCGCCCAATCCTTGTGCTCCTTGACCTGCGCCACTTTTGCAGCTGTCCCTACGCATGTTTCAGAGCTTGTCCCTGCGATTCGGCCGGGCGACGGCCTTTGCGCACACAGTGTGTTCAAAGACGTGCTGTTCAAAGACGTGCAAAAAAAAGAAATATATATATATATATATGTGTCTTAGGATGACTGGCCTCCCACGCCATGCGGCCAGACTGAACCACCTTGCAAAAAAAGGACTTCAATGGCTCCCTTCCAAGGCCTCTCAAGGGGCAACCAGTAAGACCAAGAGTGGCAGGAGAAACTCTTTATTGGAAATCATCCACACATTTGCAGACCGGTATTCTCGATCTGTCAAAAACATGGGGGGCCCTCCATGGAGTTCTGAAAACTTCCCAGCAAGTTGGCATCATCAGCACAGTAGCGAGAAGCTCCGACTTTCTTGACCCTTGGCTGTGTCTCACACAAAGCAGACAAAAACAAAAAGAACCTGTTCTTCGTGCGAATCAGCTCCACCTCTAGCTCCAAGGCCGACTGCATGAAGAGTGATCCTTTCTGAGAAAGACTGTTTTGACCCCGAACACCCAAAAGGCAACACCGGGATTTAGGCCACACTCCAATGAGGGACACACTGTACCGCCTTTCAAGGCTGCTCCACTTGAATTGATATGTCAATCCAAAAGGTGAACTTAAAGACCGCCAATCAGGAGCTGTTTCGCCTCCATCCGGACACGCAAGATCTGGCGGCAGTCCTTTCGTGGAATGGGCTCATCGCCGAGGTCAAAGCCAGCTTCACCAGGTCCTTGCGTCAGCATGCTTGGATGCTTTGTAGGAATCGAGCCAAGTGTCTCTGAAAGGCCAACGAATTTGCTGCAAGTGTCTCTGAAATGTGATTTCGGAATTCTTGCTGTGGCACCTCATGTGCACAAGGGATGGCGCTCCTCGGGGAGAGTGCTGCCACAGAAGGTCAGCAGGACGTGTTTGTGACTGGGTGCTAGAGCAACCTGCTCTGGCCCGAGAGGCTCCCTGGACACAAGAAAAGGCGTTCCCACTGCTCCTTATGTCATGCTCCGGCAAAACTCTCGACCAAGGTGTTTGAAAGAATATCATAGCATTACAATATATCATATGTATACAGTATACTATATATAATAAATCTTCACAGGTGTCCTCCACGTTTTGAACTGGGAAAGTAACTTTACTATGGCATTGTGCACGCAAAAGAGTCTTGGATCTGTTGCCTGACAGCCCAAAGCAAATGCAGGAAGCGCTGCATCTCCAAGTCAACAGCATTGGGGCGGCTTGCTACTGGCAAAAGATCAGCCAGAGAAGTCACCTCTTCACCTTGGAAGTGCAACAATGGTTGGAACTTGGGCACCAAAACTTCGCTCACACACATACATCGCCAGTATTTGGCGAGGAAGGGAGATGTTGAACTGACATGCTTGTGTTGTTTAGGTAGTACTCACGCGCAGAGAATCGACAAAACCTTAAGGGCAACAAGCGTGATGGCTCAAAAGCAAGCTTGCAAGCAGTGGCAAACCAAGTTCATGTTTTGCACAATCTGGCCGAAATGCAGCTGAGGTTCTCCATGTCAACCCAAACTCCAAGCTAATCGACTCAGCCCTGGCGGCGCTTGGCTCGGCCAGTAGAAAATGTGTTCTACAAGACTCAGAAGTTTGACCTGAGGTAGTTTTGACTCCTCGGCCTTTCGTCGAACAAAGACTGCGAGAACCTCGATTCAATGACCTGGTTTTTTGAGGCGACACTGCGCCTTTGGCAAGCAGCAATGCTGTTGTCATGGCAATCACCTTGGTGGACGAGGCTGGTCAGGGATCGACCTGATGTTCAAAGGGCCGTTGCTGTTTTTAGATTCAAGTATAGAGACACGTTGAACATGTTCCTATTCTCACCAGGAGGTTACCCCTGCCGTATGAGCCACTTTGTAGCTTGAGTCTAGTCCATGCTCGCGAATGGTTGGTGCCTTACTCACTGAATGGATTATACACAAATCTTTGCAGTTGGTTTCTGGCGTCCCCGATCTGATTGGGCACATAGCACGTGTGTCTATCATTCTATCTCAGACTCCCCCTGCGCAATAAGACCCCAAGAAGTATGTTTGCCTATGCCACGGTTGTTGGGCGAAGGCACGATATAGATTCAATTCAAACAGAAGGCTGCAAGGAACAAACAAGTCTCACACTGCCTTGATTGAATTGTCTCAAACCACCTGAATCTCAAGCAGTTGTATAATGATGTGTATGTCTATATATTTGTATACACATAATGCCTAATGCTGCTCGGGGTGGTAGCATATGCGTACACTCTTGCAATCTAACAAAAGAATCCGTTGAAAAATTGTGCAGAAAAAGAATGAGCCTGTGAGTCTCATGTGACCTCATGCGTCTTCCCGAAGCCGACACACCTTCATTCTGGGACTCTTCCAAGCGTCTCAGTGTCAATGGATCCGCTGCTCTGGCCATTCCATGTCGCGCAGGGCCATCGCCGCCAAAGTCTCCCGGTGGGGCCCTGGTGTCGCAAGACTTTTGAGATGGCCAACCCAATCGCGTCCTTGCTACTAGTGTCTTCTTGTTACTAGCAGCGATGGCCTCCAACCTACTTGCGATGGCCTCCACCTAATAGCGTCTTTGCTACCCAAGTTCACAAGTTCACAGAAGGAATTCAAGTGCCTCCTTGCGTGGAGCATAGTGACGCATAATCGTCTGGCTCATCTGCTGTGTTCATTCTAGGGCCAACAAACCGCTGCCATTTGCCCCGCGTACCCATGTTCCCCTGGCCTGTCCTGCCACAGCTGCACTGGAGAAGGGCCCACACTCCGCAAAGTGCGCAAACGAGGCAAGGTTGCCAGAGGTCCCAACGGCATGGTAGAAAGAAGGTCCTCTGGAAATCCTGCCAGACACAGCAACCTCCAGGAAGGTTGTCATGACAAACAACATGCTGCTGTTCTCAACCCGAGCCTGTGGCAGTGGAACACCACTTGCCACTTGCTTGCTAGTCTTCTTCATCAACATAGCCTGCTTGTTTTGTTTGAACATTTGGAGATGACTTCCTCATAATATCTTTAAAATCTACTACATAGTCTGTAGTAGTACTGTACGTGCTTGAGTGCATAAACTCTCTTGCCGCTGGGACATTTAATTTGTTGCTGCCTTTATTTAGAATTTGCTCCATTTCGGAATTTCCCCTTTCATAAATAGATCTTACATCTCTCTCTCTCTCTCCCCACCCAGAATCACAACTGTGCTGCTTTCGCCTGCAGTTGCAGCCTTCAGCGCCTCAAGAGCGCGTCCTTGCGCTGCGACTGCAACCACGTGACCCGCCAGCAATAGGGCTGTTGCATGGTGCACAACCACGGGCAGGGCCGTATCCAGGTGCGAAGTACTGCGCAAAGAAGGAAGGGAGGCACTGTGTGGCATGACAGGTCATTCTCTTCAATGCCAAAACTTCTTGGCAAATTATGAAAGGGGAGGCCGTCCATCATGACCAAATTTGGGGTCTTGGTATTGCATTGAAACCTGCTTCGCAAAAACTTGTTCAATGTGGTCTGAGAGTCTAAAGACTTCAACCGGTTTCAAACTTTGAACTGAGGAAGTGGACTGAGAAGTAGAAAGTGTCCTCAATACTGAGAAGTATGTGCGTCTTTGGGGATCGGGATCTACAGTATTTTTTTCCGCCGAAAGACCACGCAACCAACGCCGGCGCAGGAGGATGGGCCAAGTGCCGCGGGCGCAATGCTGCTTGGCCCGATGCCAGGTCTTCGTAGAACGTGCAAAGGTGTTGCCCGCATTGCTCTGTACAGAGGTTCAGCACACCTCGCGATTGGGGAAATATGTGAAATCCGACACAAACCAAAAGCTGCTCAAGGACACAATCTTCCTTCTGTTCTACACATTCACCACGCATCAAGTGCGCAGAGGGTTGTCGTTCGCGACGCGCCTGCACACCAAAAGCTTAGAGAAGACAGAATGCATGGGGAAGTGGATGATGAGATGAGAGAAGAATTCCATAGAATTATTGTCGTTTTGCTTTGCCAAACGGTGAGCAGGCGCATATCATAATGAGATGAGATGAGATGAGATGAGATGAGATGAGATGAGATGAGATGAGATGAGATGAGATGAGATGAGATGAGATGAGATGAGCTTGTGAGCAATTGACCATGAGCATTCGGAATGATATGATGGAAAACTGCTTGGTGCATCTATCTGGGTTTACTAGGTCATTTACCTTATGCCGTTGGCGAATTGGCAAAGTGGGAGGAGAATACACAACAACAAGGGCAAAGATCTTTCCTTCAGCCAGAGCCATGTCTTTGAATGACGCTCGAAGCAGCATGATGTGTAAACAAAACCTCAAAGAGAAGAATAGAAAGTTCCGAAAGAGACTCTCGTTCACGCTCTGCACAGCAAAATCCTCTGTAGCTTATCACAAAAACTCTTCCCGTCCACGCTTCGCGGCTTCGCGCCTGCTGCCTGAGCGACCAAGCCTTCCGCTAAGGCCAAGCGTTCCAACGCCTTCAGCGGATGCGAGGGCCAAGCCGCGACACGCTCAGCCTGAGCTTGGAGCTGCGACCAGTCCTGTAACAAAAGCGACCAGTCTGAGTGCTTCATGTAGGCGTGCTTCATATAGTGCTAGGCTCGTGTTTGTCCCAAGAAGTCCTTCAGGCCGGTCGGCCACTCCACGCAGTCCACTTGAGGCCTTTCGCATGCCAGCAGCAAATGCCTTGTGGGTGCGCTCACAAGTCTTTTGAGAAAGACCACCCGACAACCCAGGTGCACTCACTTGATCCACTTCAGTCCAATCAGTACATCCCTCTACAGACCCCGGCAATGCATTCTTTCCGGGTGAACCAGTTTGTAGTCAGTGAGAATTGCTGGATACAACTCACATATAGCTGAAAATACACCACGCAGTTGCGGCGCACTGAATAGAAAACATCTGGAAGCCACTTAGACTACCAAAGCACATGGGTGAACAAACAGGAGTCATTGGCATTGCCGTTCATCCTTCAACACTGGTAGTATTGCTTTTGCCACCAAAGTGTTGCAAGTCGTCCACATCATCAAAACACAACACAGGCATATGATGTAGTTGGGCATCGCGGAATACCCTGCGGTGGTAACAACCACTTACACAGCGACACAGCGGTGACTGCACACTGGACAGGACTGGGCCTGTGCAGTGAAGATGTGAAGCTTCGGCATCGAATGGCTTGGGGCCACAACACAGGCTGAAAAAAGCATTGCCCAGCTGGCCAGAAAACCTGTTTGCCGCTTTTGCCTATCTTTCTGCCACAAATCAAGCTTACAATTGTCTCGCAGGCGGACATGTTAAAGCCTGTGAGCATCTGTTGGGGTCTGTTCGTTGTCTAGGCTTCATGTTGTGGCACATGGTTGGTGTTTTCACAGAGCTTGTTAGATTAAGCACAATGTTTCTTTTCACCATGTCGTGTCACATGACTTGTCAACAGCGGGAGTCCCAATTGAACAGCTCAAAGGGTTCAGTGAGTTGGTCTCAATGCTGTTGAGGCTAATGCTGCAGAAGAGGCTAATACGGCCTGAAAGGCCCATCACAAACGACTCCTGAAAAAAAAAAAAAAAAACTTTGACCTTTGGCCATCTTTGGCCTTAAATGTGTTTTCAATCCCATGCTTTCTGAGGATCAGGACCTGTGCTTGAGCCTCCAGTGCTGCCTGCTGCGCCTTCTGCTGTTCTTGCTCGTTGTGGGCCTCCACGTGTCGAGTGCTGTTTACAATCGCTGTCTACTCTGATTGAAAGACGTCACTGTCAGCACAACAAATTGACAGTGACGTTGTATTTCGTTCATACACTGTGACAGCTGAATCATCCATGTGCCTTAACCTGCGCACTCTGGATTGCTGCTTGAGCAGCCTCGGAGCAAACCAAAAGAATTGTCTGGAGCTCATCACAGAACTAACAAAATCCAATAAAATCTATGTTGGTATGTTGGCTTTCACGGAGTGACTCGATTGGGCCGGCGAGCTTCCAAACAAGCTAAAGCAAGTCTAGGAAAACACCTGCATGTCACTGGGATGTCCCACTTATATTATAGAGACTTACTGTAGATCCTTGGAAGATATCGGACGTCGGACAGACCTGAACGTATTCTGAAAGTAGTGAGCGGAGACACATGACTGGCATGGCTTCAGCTCTTGCAAACACAGCCTCTCGGTTTCACACCAGCAAAGCTGAGCAAAGCTGCCTTTCCTGACCTGTTGCCTTTGTCATCTCAAGTTGAAGCATACAAAGCTCCTAGTAGCGAACCTTGTTACTAGTAGTAAGGCCAGGAGCCCCTAATATCGTCCTTGCTCCTAGTAGCGATGCCCTTTGCTCCTAGTAGCGTCCTCTACCCCCTCCCGCGCATGCCCTTTACACCCAAACTGGTGACACCACATGCCCTCCAGGGGGCTGCAGCAGCTTGTGCCGCGACATTGAGGTGTGGTGGTGGTGCCTGGCGACGAAGCTCTGAGACTTGGCCGCCAAGCGGCCTGTGTGGTGTCCCATGTGTGGGCCCTTCCAAGAGAGGAAAGGCAGTGGAGATCTATCCATAACTGCTTCCAACTGAATCGGGAGAAAGGACAGTCTTTCAAAGTACTACTAGCCTCTGCCCCTGATCTACTTCATTGTATATACATAAGTTGTTGGGCCAAACTCAGCTCCCGTGTGTCCGACCTGAGCAGAAGGTGCTGTGGCCGGTGGAGCAGTTGCTGGCTGCGTGGGGTCAAAGCCTCCAGAAGTCCAGAAGCCGAAAGAAAGAATTTACGCATTCTTTGCAGCGCCATTCGACAGAAACGAACACATAACTGCTTTCATTGGTATGATCTTATGCCGGGGTGAGTTCTACATATCAAATCAGGTGAGTCGTGATGGAAAACAGCGGCACTTCCGCCTGGAGGAAGCAGGCCTCCACCGAGACCTCCAGGAAAACGGAGGCTCCGGAGGCAAAGTGTTCCATGAAATCCTTGTTTTTTGAAAGTTCAGTTTACTGTGTCATGAAAACAACGTACAACCTGTGAAAATCTGGTCGGGTCATTGTGGAGACCATGGCAATCTGGTTCCGCGTTCCCTCCCGCATCTCGTCACCTGGAGGTGGAGGTGGCAATCCCGTCAACGGTGGCAGCTGAAGCCCAGGCAGGCCAAGTCCTGGCACTTTGGAGAGTTGGCAAAGGCTATCAAGCAGGTCTAAAAGAATTCGTGGTATTGAAGAGTCAGAGTCTCAAAGACTTCAACTTATTTCTGATTCTGAAAGGCTTCAATACATAAATGTATTATATATATATATAATCGTATAGTTATATATATATATATAGACAGAGAGAGAGGGAGAGAGACATATAATGATTCATTGATTTTACATCTTTGAACAATAGAGTTGGGGTCCGAACTTCCACCCAGCCTGGAGGGGCTGGAGGAGGCACTCCGGGCGGCGCCCCGGGCGGCGCGCCCGGTGGCCCGGTCGGTGCTCCCAACAGGCCACCAGGAGGCCTAACGATGACAGACCTCTCCCTGAGCCTTCCGTTATTATCGGTAGGAACTTCAGGAATTGGTGGACATCTCGGCTTCAGGGACTGTGGGTAAAGCCTTGCCTCAAAGTTTCGGCAATCGCTTGAAGTCAACACGATTAGCCGTTCAACAGTGTCTGACACTCTTTGTCAATAAACAGCAAGAGGACCTTGGTTGAACAATGGGCGGTTGCTACGTGGAAAAGCTTCATGGAATCTGCGTAATCCACAAAGGTCTCTCTTTGATTTGATATCGTGTTTCCAGAAAGCTTTGCTCAAGAAGGTTGATGACAGAGGCGCCGCATCTTGGTGGCAAATACAAACGCACATGATTCTCAGGGCCCACTACCTGCCTGTCTGAATCTCTTAATACGTCTTGTTCTATCATAAGCACTGCCAACGAAAAGGACAAGCCCCAATGAGTCATTCAAGGCATGGCAAGCCAAAAAGGTGGCAGTCCTTTGAGGCAAAGCCGGAAAAAAAGGGGATTGCTGGGACGGTCATGTGCGACAGCCGGCGTGACTGTTGAGATCACCGCGGTGTCACCACGTCTCCACTCAACACTGATCATGATCCCCATATGTTCTGATAATAGTAGTGTCCTTGCTCCTAGTGGCGATGCCAGGAGCCCCTAGTAGCGTCCTTGTTGCCAGTAATGCTCTTCTTCCTATATTCCGACCTTTCCGAGTCCATCCTCCGTTCTGTTCATCAGCACGGTGCAACCTCTCAGGGACGGGCCCCAAACCAGCTAGCCCAACGGGATTCGGTGGCCTTAGCAGGTCGACGTTGCTCTTGCGCCGTTCAGGATGATCACCCCTCCAAGTGAAGAAAAACTTGAAACCAGACCACGTGTATTCGAGGAAACCCTTTGTCTTTGATTTGTTCAGATCATAGTCAGAGTCATAGATTCTTCGCAACGAGCAATTCACAAGGAATCACCAGCAGCTGACATCATTTGACTGAGATGTTCCAGGTCTGACTCCCACTGTCGCCTTGCTCGCTTCTTCCACGATTCTTTTCTCGGAGAGGTCAGCTTTGCTGCATCTCCAGAAATGCAAAGGTCGTCCTGGATCCTGGAAAAAATGACCGCCTTCGCGGACAAGAAGGTCTGGACGAGAAAAGTTTTAAACTGTAAAGGTCTCGAAGACCTTACGAAGGTGGTAGTGTCCGTTGGCTTCTGCTAGCCCTTGAGGAGTTTCCCCGCGATCGTTGGGCACCATCTCCGCACCATGTCGCAGTAGTGCCTCAGGGAAGATGGTGGTGATTCAAAATGTTAAGAACATATAGACAAACAAGGGACCTGCGCCAATCTGTGACTCTGGCACGGAGCCCAATCAACCAAGTCTTGGGGCCAAATTTATCCTTGTCTCCTTCACCTCCATCAACCCCTTGGGGAAACTGGCTCCGCTATGAACAAATACACCAATGTTGCAGTTCTATTTCAGGTTCCTTTTCTTCCGCCGTATTGAGGTCCCAAAAGCAAGCGTTGGAAGAAAAGGGACCTTTTCATGTCCTTTGGCTCCTCTTGATTCTGATATCCATGGCCTCCGTCATCTCTTCATGCCCAAGAGATGCAGCTTTCAGCAACGAGGTCTCCCCTGGCAGCATGGCTGTCTCACGTGTCGGGAAGGAGCAGGCTTCTCGGCCAAAGAGGGCCACCTGAGCCCGGGCAGCCCAGGTGACAGGGATCCAAAACCCCGTTTGCCTGGCAGAACGCCGAACGGCAATCGGGTATCTCAATGACAAGAGCAAACAAGGAGGAAATAGTACTCACCGGTCACAATATGTAAACTGTCCTTCCACATTGCGTGCTGCACGTACCCCGAAGCAAACAAGCATTGGCGGCCATTCGGTGTTCATGCGAGTTCCTATGGTTGTTTTCTTATGCACCATGCAGGGCTGGCTTTGCAAAAAACTAAAGATTCCAAGCCATTGATCTTGCAAGTTTGAGAGGGTCCTTGATTCTCCTGCCTTTCTAAAACTGTATAGTATATAGATCCTCCAGCATTGAAACTGCAGGAAATCCTCCAGCATTGATTCCACCCTGGTGCCTTGAACGGACATTTGGATTTGCCCGATACTTGATCA